GATGAGTGGACTTCAACTCCCAGCATGGCTGGCTGGGCCATGCTGGGAGTTGAAGTCCACTCATCTTAAAGTGGCCAAGTTTGGACAACACTGCCATAGAAACCAAGTGTCTTGAAAGTGCATGCAATAATTATATCAAAGACAAATACCAGGAAATATTTCCAATGAATTTACAATAACAAAATACAAAATGAATAAATAGTTCTCTCCCCATTTATCACGGAGCTCCATGCTATGTAGAATTAAACATTACTGGTATCAGTGAAGCCATTTTAGACAATCATTTTCCAAATTTGAGAATGTAGACAATGTTGTAAGAGATTTAAAATGGACATTACTTCCATATCAATGATAATCCTCTAGAACTATAATGCTCTAGAGCAGTGTTGTCCAAACTGCTGGGGAATTCTGGGAGTTGAAGTCCACTCATCTTAAAGTGGCCAAGTTTGGACAACACTGCTCTAGAGCATTATAGTTCTAGAGGATTATCATTGATATGGAAGTAATGTCCATTTTAAATCTCTTACAACATTGTCTACATTCTCAAATTTGGAAAATGATTGTTGAAGTCCACTCATCTTAAAGTGGCCAAGTTTGGACAACACTGCTCTAGAGGATAGAGAGGTTCTAAATGGGGAGTAGTTCTGTGGGTGAAATTCATCACTTTCACTGTCATCTCTATGAATCTTGTTAATGAGAACTTTTGTTTTATGCAACTGCCAAGCAGTCTTGACAGTTGCTGAAAGTGTCAATACTTTGAAAGAGGTGCTTCAGAATGTACACAGGTTTGTGCCAAGCACCTCCATCAAATAATTTTTTCAGGTTTACACAGCTGCTTAAGAAACTACTCTCTGCTCTGTCCACATGTGCATGCATATATTCTGAAACACTTCTTCAGAGGAATTTGTACAACCTTAGTAGAACTACAATGTCCATGAACATCAAGAACAGATAGGAACAGAAAGAATATTACTTACAGAACCTGAAAAAAATTATCCTATAAAGCCCCATATAACTTGGTGCCAAAGGACCTTCAGAATAGTCTCTTTCAACCAGAATTGACTTGGCCAATACTAACAATACAGAAAAAATTGTTGATATTCCCCTACCAATAAGAAAATTAGGGATCAATGCTACAAGGAGATGCTTCTCTGTTACTGCCCCAGTGTTATGGAATAGCCTTCCCTGAGAAATTCAGGTTACCCTTGACCATGCTGGCTTTCTGGAAGCTGGTCAAAAAGGAGCTGTTCTGGAGGGCTTTTAATTAATTAATTCGCATAGCCCCACTGCAACTGTTAATTGCAAATGGGAAGTTTTTTTAATTTTATTTTTTCTAATGGTTTTACTCTTTTAGTTTATATTGTTGTGGATGTTTTTATTTCTGTAAATTGCTGAGGACATAAGATTGCGGCAGTCTAAACATTTATTCAGTACATAAATGAGATATTATCCCTAAACTTTAACAAGGAATTAAAATACTGCAAAACATAAAACATGCTATGCACTTACGCTTTAGCTACAATTTGGTTTACTTCCTAGATTATCACATCAAGCATTGCTGAATTGTTTTTCCATCAAAAATGTATACTAGGGCTATAGTAGTGCAGTACTATTAAAGAAGGAAAGATTGGGACAGCCATTGGAAATTTGTGGGCATCGCTGTTAAAAATATAATTGTTTTGTAGAATAAATAGTGGAGATTCTTCCAGCATGGCTACAAGTATCCAACTCCATGTCTTTGAAAAGATATTCAGTCTCTGCAAATAGCTAGTCAGGTATCTGTATTAAATTGTAAAGGAGGAAGGAGCTGAGCCAGTAATATAGTTCAGAGGTTTCTTTTTATAAAGCAGTGCTACACAAAGTATGCATACAAAAACACAGTATCATAAACATTAGCCTTGGACTAATCTGTTCATCCTTCTTCCTCCAATATGGCTTTAAAAAAATTGGAAGTTTGCTTTTATGTCTCTAAACTCATATAAACTGAAGATCATTTTATATATAGTCTGTGAAACATGGCAGCTTCTAGCTATAAGTTATGAAATTGGCTTGTTATAATTAACCATTAAGATTAACCAGGTACAACTGTAGCTAATGGGAGGAGGAAGGAGTATTAGGTATGTTCATTGCCTTGAGTTATTTATAAAAATAATAAAGGCAGGATAAAAAAAATCTAAAAAAAAATCTGAAACAGAAGTAGAAAAGGAGTGGGACTGTACAAACAGGAGGTACTGGAGCATGCCTTTGCAATGCTAAACTACTGTTTAGTTCCACATATTAACATGGCTACTGACAGCTTCTGCTATGTGCATAATGAACAGATATTCAACTTTCAATTCCCAAATTGACAGAACATGGAAATATGATTTATTTGTAGAACATAGTTTAACTTACTCCTGCTACCTCCTTCTCTCCTATATGTCTCATTCCTACATGAAGTAGAAGTTTTTATCACAATTAAATCTAAAGTACACACTATGTGTTTATTATAAACAAATACTAAATAAAGCCACTTTGGCCCAAGGGATGATAATTACATTTAAAGATATTTTAGGATAAATTTCTGGGTTCTGAAAAGTTATTTTTTGCTAGCTCAAAATCATTTACCACCTGTTTGGTGTTTCTCTTTAAATGGGAAACTGATAAATCATGAATTTGCTTCAGCAATTGTCTTCAACTATAGCAAGCATTTGTGTGTGTGTTTTAGCACTGGAAGCTGCTATTCAAAATCAGATTTCAACCATTTTGCTCATTATATTTGCTACGGTGGCCTCTGATAAACAGGATAGATAGCTTAATCCCAGTTTTAAAGCTGAAGAGTTAGGTCGGAACCAATCTGTCTATCACATTCCAATCTCCCTACCTCTCTAGTTTAGAATTTGGAACCATGCTGAGGATTACTTGAGACTCAGCTAAATTGCTGGAGCACCTTGGCTGTCCAGGGGGAAAGTGGCAACTTTCTGCCTTATAAGCATTTACTGATTATGAAGCAGAAATGTTTTCATTCTTTCTCTTCTGACATTTCATGAGATGTCCATTGGTGGCATCTAATCCATCACACTCATCTCTTTGGATCTTCCCAAAGAAAGGCCAATGCTTTCTGGAAGAATTCTTGACTATGGTGTTCGGCTTGTTCAGAAAAAGAACCTTTGCTACAGAAAATCTGGTGGCCAATATTAATATGTTTATAATATTAAAGTTCTGTTTTCATATTGAAATGCAGTGAAACAGCTATTTGCTACTATGTATTAAAGAGTAACTTACACATCTCAACCCTTCATTGCTTGATGCCTCTCTACATAGAGAATGTCTTCTATATTAGAAATGCTTTAGTTTTCTGCAATGGATAAATTACCCAGTCTTGCTCTATCATACAACCCTATGGAGTACAGTTGAAAATAGCTGGTTTAGTACTGAAAACACAGTAATTCAGTTCAAAAAAACTAAGCAAAGCCCACAAACCCCAGATTAAACAGTTGTTATAAGAGTAATGACAACTTCAAACATTTACATATACCAAAAAGGATTAAAAATATATTCTGTGAATCCCTGACCTTCTCTATAGGCAATGCCATGGCCAAAAAAATCTTATCAGAGACTAGCAGGACAGCAAGCAGGTTGTTTGCTATCCAGTTCCAGATTAGAAAAGAGGTTACTTTACTTTCTCTGTGGGTGGATGTTAGCAGTTTAGAACCTGCTACCCAAAGGAGTCACGGGAAGGCCACTTTCTTTATTAATAATAAACTGATAGGTCGAGTCTGGATGAAAAATCTTATCCTTAGCACTGACCTATTAAAATAACTTTCTCCCAGCCAGCCCAGAACTTCCCATTTCTTAATCTCAGGACAAATCTACAGTGCACGAACTGTAGATTTATGTAGTTCATGAATGGATGAACTGAGGACATGTTTGGCAGTTGATAGAGAAAATGTTAACATCACTCCAAAGTTGGTGGCTCAACCCAAATTGGGGCACCAGAATATAGAAAAGACCAACAAGTTTAGCAATTAATTTAAAATTCACATTGTCTATGAAATGACAAATGTTGCTATAGATATTAAATATCCCCAGCAAGAATGCAGGCACAGAAATTTAAACATTCTAAACTTGGACATCATACAGGCTGCTTATTTGCTGTCATTTTTTCCCTTTAAGCCATTCTTTGAATTTACTCATAGTTCCTTCTGAAGGACTACGACATCTACTACTGAGAACCAGAGTAGATTGCTCCCAAACTCTAATATATAGTATCTGGTTAAAAAAACAAGAGAGAGATGTATATATTTCTACTACTCTGATAACAGGACAGCTATGGCAATCACAAACAATTTGTCTATATGCCAAACAGACAGTATTCAAATAAGACTGTTTTAGGAAAAAGAGATTTTAAATTATATTTTTAAAAAAATCTGATACAGTACCTCATACAAGTCTTATGTTTCCCCTTAAAGTTCTAAACACTTTACAGTTTTCCTCTTTATTTTTCTCACCTATTTTCTTTCAACACATTCTTGAAAACTGGTAAACTTCATCACATGAATATTTATATATACAGAGAGAAACAGATGCTGTATATCAGTTTTAAAACATGAAGAAATCCTGTTTCCAGCTCTTCAACTCTTGAAACACTTTGACTGTCAGCATGTCTTAATACAGAATCTGCTTACATGACATCAGCAATACATCACAATACCTTGCCACAAGACTTCTCATATCAAGTGAAGAACAATTAAATGGGACAAAGTATTTGAGGACCCATTTATTGATTTTACATTCTCAGCTGAATTTATTAACAGCATTACAATTTTTTTTTAAAATAAGGTTCTTAATAACCTGGTAAGTTCATAGTAGTTCATATGGCCAGACAATAGCTATTTAATGTTTTAACACAAATACTTTGGACTGAACCTAGAAAACAAGTGGCAACCACTGCAGATTTTTCAATACTATGCTCCAGTTTACTGTCTTGTTGTCACATTTTAAACTAACTGAATCTTCAGGGATAGCCTTATAGATTTTGTTGCAGTAATCTAGATATAATTAAGTATGAACATTAGGATTATCCAAACCTTGGAAGTGATGTTTCACTTCAATGCAGGTCTGAGTGAAGTGGTTCATTAAAGCACCGGTAACCTGCTTCTAACTGGTGGGGTTGAGTGGCTGTGGTGATTCAGCTGGACAATGAGGCTTTTGTGCATGCACAATACAAAAGCCACTTCTCTCAGAGTAAAAGCCACTAACTCAGGTTGATTTCACTTTGGTGCTTTGCAGAGGCAGAGTATCTCATCTATGAGGCACTTTACCACAACAAGGAAAAGTGATGCATATCAGGAAGGTGGATCAACTAAGATCCTCATGGGCATAATGAATAACAATTACCAGATCAGATTAAATCAGTACTGGTACAATCATCGTGTTTACCCAGAAGTTTTTCTGAACACCATATGAAGATCTGGGGAAAGGAGAATCAAGTAGATTTTGCAAGCTACAAATCTGATCATTCAGGGGAAGCACAATCTCTTCCAGAATATGTTAATGAACTACATTGCTAAACTGTCTCCTGGCCAACAATACCTCATTTTATCTAGACTAAATTTCAACTTGTTCATCCTTATCCAACTCATTATTAAAATCAGATAATATTCAAGAAAAGTTCATGATTCCTAATAAAGAATAATAGAGCTGAGAATCAACAAATTCTGGATAATGTCAATGATTTCACATACATCTTATACAACATGCAAGACAGAAAAGAACACTGTAGCCAAGATGTTTGCCGCTGAACAGTGGTCTCACAGCACCACCTTCTAGCGAACTCAACAGTAAAGACATCTATTACTGCTACACAATATTGCTAAAGCCCAATCCCACAGTTGTAATATTATCACAATAAATGGTACTAAAAGCTTTCAAGAAGTCCAAGAGTATTGAAAGGGGACCCTCCCCACTGAATCGCCATGTAGATATTCACCAAAGTGACCAAAGTAATTAATTGAAACTCAAGGCCCAACTGAAATGCATTTAAATAATCAGATATGCCTCAAACTACATCACCACCAACAATTTTAATTGAATAAAAGACTATTACTGCCTCTTTTATATAAGAATGTATGTGCTCTTCCAGCCCTTATTTCTCCTATCTCCCTATCTAAAAGTTAAAATAATACCGGGTGAGGAATCTCTGAGAGGTCTATTTAAAACAAAAACAAAAACAAATCCAGTTGTTCACAGCATACCCATCAAGTCCTCTGGCTCCCAAGCTAGTAATCCTTCCATAATTTTCACAAGTATACTGGTATTGCTTCTACATGGTGATACTTTAACATATTTTCCAAAACTAGAAGTTATGTTCATAGACAAGAATAATTTAATTGGTCAATGGTCCATCCAAAGCACATGTCTCATGATAGGCTGCAAGCGAATGAAGTAAAAGATGTGGTCATCAAGATACAATTTTCATTTGCATGTCCATATCAACTACATATATGTCATTACCCATGCCTAGCTTCATTTGAGAAGAGAAATACAGAACTTATTACAGAACTTTTTTAGCCTGAGTTGTGCTTGATTTATTTCAACCCATACATTTTTCTACTTATATTACTATGCCTAGAAAATGTAAATTAAGTATAAGGAATGAATGAATGAATAGTGAACATATTTTTCATGTTCAAAGTGCTCTATAACATTAACAAGTTTTTGATTTTTTTTGCTGTTCAAAGAAACCTGTATTATATATCTCTCCAAATTTAACATATACTATATTGGAATGCAATTAAGTTTAATAAAACCGTAGAGAAAAATGACAATGTACAAATTAAAAGAGAAAAATACCTTTCAAAAGATGATTCAAGTCCATAGCTTCATGCAGGACCTTCTGAAGACATTTGTGATCCACCTCAGGTTCTAATGAGAAAAAAGTATACACAATTATTTTAAGCCTAGTGTTTCTGCCATGTATATGGTTTAATAAGTTCTGCAAACTTACCATATAACTCCTGGCTCACATTTTGCTGTCTTTTAACTTTTAATTTCTTATCATTGGATGCTGCCAGTTCAAAAGATTGGATGGGACTGATATCTGGTGTTGACAGAGGAGTTACATCGGTCACTGTATCTTCAGACTCTTCTGTGTGGTCACCCAGCTTTGATTTTACTTCCACTGACTTTATTCCTTGGCTTGACTGTTCTGATGAAAGAACTGGTAAGCTACTCATGCTTTTCTTTTCTGAAGAGCATGATGAATCTGACAGGCAACCGTCAGAGCCTGTTTCTGAACAATCTGTATCAGAACTAGATGATGGGGAAGAAGAGGAGGAAGAACTAATGTTCCTATTAACCTTTGCACCATTAGACTGTTTAGAGAACTTATGTCTAACTCTCTGATTTCTGCTGTCATCACTACTGTCTTCCCCATCTGTATAGTAATTTTCTTCACATTCTTTCTTTATTTGGGGAATTTGCACTGGAATATTTTCTTGAAGGATTTGTTCATTTTCTGCTGTTATTCTATCAGCTGGATCTTCCAGATTCAAAGAAACTGACAAAGAAACAGCATTATCTGGATTATGAGCACCACTGTTTAACATGTGTTCCTTCTGAGATTCTGCCTTTTTAATTTGCTTTTCTTCCTCAGTACTGTTATCCTCCATCACTTTGGTTTCCTGTTTCAAATGACAATCATCTACAACTGAATCTTTTATTTGTGCATGCTCAGAACTTTCCATCTTATCTGTTTCTGTTGTTATTCTGTCTTTCTTCACCTCCTCCTCAAAATCGCTATCAAAGAAAGAATGATCCACTTCACAATCAGAAATATCTTCATATCGGTCCATACTGAAGACAATGTTGCTTAAATATTTTCCTACAAATAGAAAACTGGAATTATTAAACCAATTGTTGAAAGAAATCTTTTTCTATCCTTTTATTATAGCAAATCTTCCCTCCAAATACTCATCCTCTTGAAGAAGCAGCAGTAATTACCATTACAGCTTTATGCAATATTTTGTTATATCATTTGGTACAATTACATAAGCCAAGTTGCTTTAATATTAATATTATATATATACACACACACACACACACACACACACATACATACATTTTGTGGGATTACTTTTTTATTTTATATCAAGTAAACAACTGTGATTTAAAATAACACTAATGATTAGCATATTAAAACCAAAATAAATGAACACAGATGCACTAATTTAGAGACAAAATTTAAAAATCATAGGTGGATGATATAAAGTAAAAATGTCCTGAACAATGCAAACTTTTGAGGAGGTGGGACTGGGAAAAAAACAAAACAAAAAAAATCCTCCCCCCAAACATACTGAAAGTAATAGATCTATGTTGTACCTTTATATTTTCAGAATTGAAAGAATAATTTCTTCTTTTAGATTTACGTGTAATATCTGTACCATCTAATATTGACTAATTCATTCAATTAGACCATTCCATATGACCTAATGTATAGATTTTTCTATTCCTTCTCTCATTCTCTCCTTTCTTGTACCACCTAGCCTGATAAGCTCCTTTGTGGCATTTTGACTGGTCCTAGTAAAAATAATGCCCAATTATGGCTTTTATATTAAAACAGTATAATACCACCTTAAGGAAAAGTGCATTTATTAGTTGTGTTCCATTACAGTGCAATAAAAATGGACATTTATGCTCCATTTACACTAATATACCTCCAGTTGACATTTTAGTTGGGGTATCATAATTCTTCAGACATTTTACCAATTAATTCCAAAAAAATTGCTGAGTTTCATAACAAGATTTTTCAAGGTGTCTGTTGAAGCAGGCTCTCACCTACGGAAGCTTATGTTCACAATAAAATAGGTAGCCTTTGAGATACCATTGTGCCTCCTTTCAACCCAGTTTGCAGGTTAGGGAGCTCACATGTGGAAGACTCCCTGAACCCTTGCTGTAGCTCTGGCTTCAGTGAGACAGTGATATTTGAAGGAAGCTTCGCATTAATTGATTAACTGCTATTCCAGGCAATAATAAATTATGTTTCTCAAGTTCAGTTGCTATGACACTGCCGTGAGCTGTGCTGCTATAATTTTTTAAAGATAGGGATGCTAGTCATAACACTAAACTTAATATATTCAGGAAAAGGCAGAAGATTATTTCTGGATGGTTCACAGTAGATTGCTAAAAGCTTTTTTCTCTCTCAACTGTTTTATAACAACAACAACAACAACAACAACAACAAAAATCTCATACTCTGGGCTTAAGACTCTTAATCAACAGTAACTCACATACAGATTTGCATCCATGTAAGTCATCCCAGTGGACGCATGGCCCATCGAGTACCAGAGATACCCGGATCTCCCCGTGTTATTATTTTGTATGCAATTCCATTGGTTATACTAAAAAAGCACTATTAGACTAAGTCTAATTACACCCTAATTAACTTCCATTTAACTAATACACCCACAGAAGTTACTTATACAAGTACTTGCTATCTAGGTTATTTATCTGTATTTAAAAACAATTTTTTGTAATTCTCTCCATGTAGAGACTACTTACTGTAGGTAACAAGGTGACTGTTCCTCCCAGTATTTGTTTCACTTGATTGCAGGATCTGTTTGCTTTTCCCCTGCACTCACTTGGTAACTATAGCAAAGCTTATCAATGCATGATGTGACATGGGGGTGTATTGTTTTTTCAAACAGGGCTTATTACAGAGCCCTGTTTGAGTGATCAGGGCTAAGAGGGAATGACTAGGCCTCTAAAATAACATCAATGAATAATATATTAAAATAAAAACAACAAACACATAAAAATTAAGAGGGAATGATTAGGGCTAAGAGGGAATGACTAGGCTTCTAAAATAACACTAATGTATAGCATATTAAAATAAAAACAATCAACAAATAAAAATTAAGAGGGAATGACCAGAATTAAGACAGGACAGCCCTAAATTACTTTCAATTCACCAACAACACAGCCGCTGGTTTGATATGGAATGCAGAAAAGCATGTTGTATGGTTAGGAATTCGGCAAGGAGAGCAAAAGATAGTTGTGCCCCATAGATAATTACAGAACTGCTTAGGAAGAAAACGGAATATAAACTTCTCCTAAAGCACAAGACAACATTATACCAAATGACTCTTTGGCCCTCTCTCCTGACTGCCATAGATTTTAAGACACAACGTTATTCTGGAAACTGGTAAATACCAATTTGGGCAAAAATAAGAACATCTTAGAGGCCAGAGTGTCCAAAGAAGAATGGGAGAACCATTATACTAGACTGTTTGCTCCCCATCCCAATTCAGTTAATTCCCCAATTAATCTAAAACTCTAAGACGCTACACCCTGGCCCCATCTTTTAAAAGGAATTGAATATCTGATTCTGGCGTAGCTATCAGGCAAAGCCCCTGGAGAAGACTGTATCCCTGGTAATTTATTAAAAGCTAATATTGTCTGATGGAAGCCTATTTTGGCTAAGCTCTTTAATAACATTAATTCCTCTGACCAACTTCCCCAGGGTTGGAATACAAGCATAGTGATACCAACATACAAAAAAGGTGATCGTAGCCACCTAGAGAACTATATACCAATTAGTCTAATTAATATTACAGGTAAAATTTATGCAGAACATCTAATAAATTAGAGGACTGGGTCATCAATAACAATATCCTTGCAGAGGAACAGGCAGAATTCAGAGCGGGTTATTCAACAATTGATCATGGTTTTGTATTGAATCATCTGATAAATGAGTATGTTAAACATGCCTACAGGAAACTGTATGTTGCCTTTATGGATTTTTGTGCAGCTTTTAATTCCATTGATAGAAATAAACTATGGATTAAACTACATCAGTTGAATTTGGATAGAAGGTTATTAATTTTGATCATGGCTTTATATACAAATACTCACATTCAGGTTAGGTTCACCCCAGTCAGGCATCTGACAGATAATATCAAGACTTTTAAAGGAGTAAAACAAGGATGTGTGCTTGCACCATTATTATTTAATCTATTTATTAATATTATTCCAGCCCTGAGTGGAGAAAATTTTTTCCCAGTAAAGGCGGGAAATAGGAACTTGTCCATATTACTTTATGCTGATATCCCATTCTCAGATAGGCTTGTGCAGACAGTTGAGCTTTGGAGAGCTATTCCGCTTGTGAATGCGAAAAAATCAAAGGTGGTGGTATTTGGAGAGAAAAGGAAAAGATACAAATGGAGACTTGCGGAATATAATATAGAGCAAGTCTCGCTTGTAGATACAGTGGTACCTCTACTTACGAACGCCCCTACTTATGAAATTTTTGAGATACGATCAGCTCCAGCCCCCAAAATTTACCTCTACTTACGAACTTGCCTTGACTTACGAGCCATTTTCCGCCCGTTCCACGTGGTCCGTGGCTATTTTCCCGCCCGTGCCACGTGGTCCGCGGCCATTTTCCCGCCCGTGCCACGTGGTCCGCGGCCATTTTCCCGCCCGTGCCACGTGGTCTGCGGCCATTTTCCTGCCCGTGCCACGTGGTCCGCGGCCATTTTTCCGCCCGTTCCACGTGGTCCGCGGCCATTTCCCCCCGTTCCACGTGGTCCGCGGCCATTTCCCCCCGTTCCACGTGGTCCGCGGCCATTTCCCCCCCATTCCATGTGGTCCGCGGCCGTTTTTCTGCCCCTGACACGTGGTCCGCGGCCATTTTTCCACCCTGCCGCGTGGTCAGCGGACGCCGGAACGGATTAACGGTAATTACATTGAACCTTATGGGAAAATTTACTTCGACTTGCGACCAACTCGACTTGCGATCAGAGTCACGGAACGAATTAAGTTTGTAAGTAGAGGTACCACTGTACTTACATTGAACCTTATGGGAAAATTTACTTCGACTTGCGACCAACTCGACTTGCGATCAGAGTCACGGAACGAATTAAGTTTGTAAGTAGAGGTACCACTGTACTTGGGCATCCTTTTTAATGCTTCAGGCAGTTGGTGCTCTATCAGGCCCAAAAAATAAAAATTGAGAAAGCTTCGGTAGGAATAATAAAGTTTTGGCGTACAAGTGGTGGTCGACAAGTTCCTCCAATCCTAACTCTTTTAGAAACCAAGTTAGTTCCTTACTTTTCGTATGCATTAGAGTTATGGGGAATTCCTACCCCTTATGATATGGAATTCTTTCAAAACAAGCTCCTCAGAACAGTTTTAGG